TCTCTGTGAAATATGTCCTCGTATCGATACCTGTGATACAAAGAAAACTGAGTGGGTCAGGCTTGGGAGCCTGGTGAGCATATAGGGTTTTCAACCCATAATAATATAATTATTATATTTAATTATCAAACAATCAATTCAAATACCCACCCCCATTATCTCCATTTATTTCTTAAAGATTTATCCTAAGAACCAATTACCCTTCTCCCATTCATTCCTAAGGATTGCCCTAAGGAACTGGCACAATGTCTAGTGTTGCCAAGGATCTTAGATTACCTTTGGTGAACACGCAACTCACAATAATTGATGAGCACCTAGTTCAAGAACACCTAATGAACACTTAGTTCCAATATTACCCAATGAACACCTAGTTCACAAACACTTAATGAACACTTAGTTCAATTATCCCTGATGAACACTAAGTTCAAATATCGAATGAACACTTAGTTCGAATATCCCTGGTGAACCCAATCACCTAAGGAACACAGAGAATGAAAGCTCTTAGTTCAAACAATGTGATAATAAAGTATATCTCGATCCTACGAAACCACTAATGTTATAAACACATATAAGTTATATTTCTAAAACAATATATCCCATCCCGTCGATACCCACATACTGACCCTATACAATGATCTTACGAGATCTAGCCTAAGGAATCGATATGAACCACAAACTGATGAAGCTGCTTCGGAAATTCCCTGGCAGCAAACGAGGATCAATAGTGACATCAAATGAGGGGAATGGAATAAGTTTCACCACGAACCTTCGTTCGTAAAAGAAAGAACCACAAGACAGTTAAGTCAGGGGTAGTTATCTAGATAACAATGCCTAGGTGTTGTCCGACTATCATGAGGTATTATACCCCCAGACTCTACCTATCCCAGCATCGAACTTTGCCTAGCAGCGGCCTGAATACATGAGGTATTTCACCCCCAGACGCACCCTATCCAACAATATAACACCAGACATACCTAGTAGTGGTCTATTATCGACACACTTTACTAGGCAGTCTACGAAGTTCCCTTAATTACTTTGTGAAAGAAAACGCTGATATATGAAGCTTGGTCGATCACCTCACAGAAGAAACGCTGACTCCAAAGCTCTCTCAAAATAAAATTATGGGGAAATACTACTAGATTACTCCCGTACGCTCCCGTAACTGACACACAAAATTGTCAAAAAGACTTTGTACATGATAGTACTTCTGGCACATTATAGTACTCTGGTATGCGAAAGAATCGTACCCAAGAACATAATACTACCCTAGCACAAGCAACACCCAAGACACAGAGCTTTGAAAAGAACTTCGTACATAAAATGTACTTCTGTACGTAGGACGTATTCCACCGATCATCAATCTCACAACACACGTACTCTTAATAAGAGACTAACCAAATTCCAATCTTAATTGAACTAAACATCCCATTTAAGTCTTAACCCATCACTAGGCAAAACTACAATGTTTATAATCAATTTATGATACTATCTCCGTTTAGGAAACGCTAACTAGTGAATACTTAACACAAGGTTTTAAGTAATAGTATCATATATACACATCTTAACACATATTGAACCATATCTGATTCGCCCGTTGTATATTATCAAATATATCTAACACGTATTTTGGACAACGACAGATACTTCACATACATATGTATACTTCATATTATAATCAATAATCGTATTTAAAATCACGTTCCTAAAAGGGATTATACACATGATACCTTATCGAATGAATACGTAGTTCTAAAATACATAATCCGTACTACCGGATCTTAAATTTTCCTCATTACCTAATCCATATTCCCGGATCTAAAACTAACATATTGATCTGATCCATACCCTTGGATCTAAACCAAGTTTATCTATTTATCCTTTTATATCATGGTCCAACCAACCTTTTATCACCAACCAACAACCTCATCTACTCATGTTCTACCCAACATATTTTTAGATACAAAATACGCATATAGTTCAACTCATTAAAACTTATATAATTCATCCACTACACAATCATCTCAAATAAACAACAAAATATTATACACGTAGCACGTATTTCATAGCAAATACTTAATATTTATGTGTTAGAAGAAAGTGACCACACACTCACTTGATTAGAAGATGATTGGACAGCACTACGACTTGTAGAAGTAGTATTCTTCGGTGAAATCGGGATCACTTCACACACTAGGCTTTCCGCGGCAAGAGCTTCGGCTCGGAAACTCTTTTCTTCTCGGGATCTTCAGGCTTCGGGACTCAGGATGATCACCGGGGCTTCGGGGTATTTCTTGTACGTAAATCGAGGTAAAACGGGGGGAAGAGAAAGAAGAGAAAATAGCAACCCTAAACGTCTGACCTCACTTTCTATTTATAGGAGGCTGGTTTTCATTCCTCACGTCGTGAGTTTCTAAAGCTCACGTCGTGAGCCCGATAGGTCACCGCGTTCGTCATTCGTCCACTTGTGTTTGCAGCATTGAAAGGTCAAATCGGTATGCTCACGTCATGAGCACCATCTCATGTCGTGAGTCCTGACACAGGCTCGGTTTTCGTGCCCCGAACTTTAGAAATCTATATCTTTCGTATACGAGCTCCGTTTTTGACGTTCTTTATATCCACACGTAGGTGAGATTATGCTCTATAACTCTCGTTTAGACTCCATTGGCTAATTTTGAATTTAATTTTAATATATTATTTTTAGTAGGCCGGGACAGGTAAACTCCGTTCGACATTCATAACTCATTCATCTGAACTCTGTTTTCGTCTGTCTTTTTATCGTTGCACTACTATCGATGATATCTTCGATTCTCATTTAGATTGTTTCGGCTAAAAATCACTCGATCTCAAATCAAGTATTCGGGCTGCATACTGCTAAGTCAAAACTTTTGAAAATCATAACTTCCTCATACGAAGTCAGATTTGGGCGTTCTTTTTATGCACGCTCTCGTTTTAATGAACCCTGCGAATTTTGTTTAGATCACTAATGCTAGATATCGCTCTAATGTAAGTTTCACTTTTTACGTCTTTCAGCGTTGTCGGTTCTGTCGCGAAACTTCGACAGGTCATAACTTCTTCGTTATAATTTGGATTTCGGCATTCTTTATATATTCGGAAACCTTGTAACATATACTATAACTTAGTTAATATTATTCATTCCAAATAATATTTCATCAAAAATTCATTTTTGACGCCTATCGTCCATAAATTGACTAGCCCGGATCTATGGGCGTTACAGTTTGACCAATCTCACTAAGATTTTAAAAATATGAATTGAAACAAATCTGGTTCTAAATTTTGAGAAATGTCATTTTATGGTGATTCAAGGTCTCAGCTTGGGTCACATTGCGTCAAAGAAAGGAATTGAAGTAGATAAGGCTAAAATAGATGTTATTCAAAGCTCACCTTACCCGACTTGTGTTCAGGAAGTTCGTTCTTTTTTAGGCCATGCATGTTTCTATCAACGATTCATCAAGGACTTTTCAAAGATAACAAGATCAATGTGCCTACTCTTGCAAAAGGATGTTTCTATCATGCAAGCACCAAATTGGGATCTCCCATTCGAGATCATGTGTGATGCAAGCAACTATGTTATAGGCACCATTTTGGGTCAAAAGAATGGAGGAGCCTCCCATTTGATCTACTATGCATGACAACGCTTATAGAAAGTATTCTACCACAAAGAAGGAGCTATTGGCCATAGTGTTCGCTTTGGAGAAGTTTAGACAATACCTACTCGGTACCAAAGTTATAGTGTATTCGGATCACGAGACACTCAAATACTTGATGAAAAAGAAAGATGTGAAGCCAAGACTCATCCGGGGGATCTTATTATTGCAAGAATTTGATTTGGAAATTCGGGACAAGAGTGGATGCAAGAATCTTGTTGTCGATCATCTAAGTCGGATCACTTCAAATGAAGTTTCTCTCCCATTGCGGGACGAGTTTCTGGATGAGAATCTCTTTTCCCTTACTCAATCTACTCCTTGGTATGCCGATATCATTAACTTTTTGGTCACGAAAAGGTATCCAGACACATTCACACGTGCTTAAAAAGACAAATTAAAAAGGGATGCAAAGTATTACATGTGGGATGAACCTTATTTGTGGAAACATTGTCCCGATCAAATCATTAGGCGATGTGTGCCCCAACGAGAACATCAATCGATTTTGCAATTTTTTCATGAATTTGCTTGTGAGGGACACTTCAGACCTAGCTGGACCTTGAGAAAGGTCATTGAGTGTGGACTATTTTGGCCAACCATATCACGTGACTGTTACTTGTTTTGCAAAAGTTGTGAACGATGCCAAAGGACGGGGAACATTTTGCAAAAGAACCAAATGCCATAAAATCCAATCCTTGTTTTTGAAATTTTTGATGTATAGGGGATTGATTTTATGGGCCTATTTCCCATCTCATTTGGCAATGTTTATATTTTGCTCACGGTTGACTATGTCTCTAAGTGGGTTGAAGCCAAAGCAACACGGTCGGATGATGCCTTGTGGGCCTATCGGGTCGCGTACAAGACCCCGATAGGAATGCCCCCATTTAGGTTGGTATTTGGAAAACCATGCCATCTTCCCATGGAATTAGCAGGGATGGAAAAAGAAACCGAACCCGATGGTAAAAACCGCGTGTGGTCGCGAAGACGTCCGCATGTTTATACAAACGGACCGTGTGTACTCGGAAAGTCGACCGCGTGAAAAAATTGAAAGTAGAAGTGTTCCAGGTTAATTCACGCGGACCGCATGTACTTGCAGATCCGTCTGCGTGGGTTGATGACTTCCGTTGAACCGCATTTTGACCAGGTTTGACCACGACTCAACCCCCCATATCACCAGCTGGCCCTCTTCTTCCCCACTTCCTCTTCTTCTTTTCCTTAAACTCCATTAGAAAACTACCCACCTCCATCAATAAAACTTGATTTCCCATCAAACCGCCGGTCGGAATTACGTGAAACCACTGCCATTCTCTCCCTTTTTTAGAGCTCTACAAACCCCACCTAAAACCCGGTCCGATCTGTTGCTGCAATTCCGGGCGCCACCACCACCATCTCGCTACTTTCAGGCCATTTTCCGGTCACCTCTCGCGATTCCGACACCACCACTGTGCTCCTCTTGGTCAATGCTACAAACCCCACTAAAAATATTCCTCGAAGCTCGCCGGAAAATTTTGCCGGAATCTTAAGTCGTTGCCGGATTTCTCGGGTTTTAGCGGTCAAGTGCTTCTCACGGGGTATTGAGCAAAGCTTTAAGCTTGGGGTGGAGAGTTGCAGGATTTTCAAATCCCGAATTTTCGCTCGCAAATTTTCAACTTTCAAAAAATCGTGATCGCCAACAGGTACATTTTTTACATTTTTACATTTTTTCATTGACTTAAATTGTTTTAGAGGTCCATAGGGAGTCGATTGGTGATTTGGATTATAATATCAATTGTTGGGATTGTGGTTCGTGTAGTGTTAATTTTCTTGCAGGTTGATCATGCCCACATAAAAAAAAAAAAAAAGAACGCTCGGCTACCGCCTTAGGCAAAGCCCCCGGTAGAGCTCAAAATGATGAACCCGACATCCCAAGGTTTTAGGATGCAAAGGCGACCGAAAATTAAAGGAAGAGTTTGCCTCGAAAGGTTTCCTCCACCAAATTTGTGTGCAAACCCACGCTCATTTCATTAGGGGTTCTTGAGGGGGTCACTCAATTGTTTCGTAGCATCGGGTGGGAAAACCTTCTTGAACTCATGACAAGCACTTACGAGCTCCTTACTGGAGAGTTCATTGTTAACTGTGGGTTAGACAGCGAGAAAAAAAGGTTGCATTCCAACTTATGGGGGACCGGGCGTACATTGATTTTGCAATGATAAATAACATATTGGGATTACCTTCCTCCAACACATTCATGGTTTTCGATGCCTTGCCTATCGAGTTCAACCACGAGACTTTTTGGACGGAAATCACCGGGGGGATCTTTTCATGTGCCAGTCACGATAAGACAACCTTCGTTGTTCACCCGTGCCTCCGCATTGCTCATCGCATCTTGGTTTGCACTGTTTTTGCCCGCAAAGAAGCCGGACAAGTCACAAAAAATGAGCTCTTCTTCCTTTGGTGCATGATGCGACGTTAAAACCCATTGATTCCGGATTTTTCCTCGTTCTTCTTCCACAAATGCACACTCATGAGAACCAAAACAACCAGTGATATTTGCATTGGAGGATTTGTCACACTTTTAGCCCGCGGCCTTGACATTGAGCTTCCAGACGACTATAAGCCCGTCGACAACAAAATTCTCATGGATGAGTGGATCCTCACAAACATGCATCACATCCGTCATAGGAACAAGAGCAGTTTCACATGGTATTGTCCTCAAGGGGTCGGATATCTCATTCTTCCCGACCCCCTATTCGCCAACTTCACCTTCCATGATTGCACTCAGTGGAGACTCGCGAGGGCCATCATTCAGTCAATCAATGAGGATGCACTTCAAGCTTAAGATGATGACGAGATGCATGTGGATAACGAGCCCGACGATGAGCCCACCCATGGTCCATAGCAAGCCCAACCCCAAGCACCTCCTGGATATTACCCGCTTCCCCCTAATTTTGCCGATCGATTCGAGGCTCTTTGTGTCTCCAACCAAATCATGTCCCAACAGATGCACCATATGTGGGGGTGGCACCAATCACAAAACCATTTTGAAAACATTCCACTTCCACCTCTATATCCATACCCTCCACCCACCCACCCTTATCCACCTCCACCTTACCCCCTAATACCCTTATCCTCCTCCAGATCCCCCGGTTTAGGTACTTTTGCCTCGCCCTGAGCATTGAGGACAATGCTTATTTCTAAGCTTGGGGTGGGGTATTCCCTTTTCTTTTTTATTTCTCATTCATTTTAATTAGGTTGCATAGCATTTTAGCCTTAAATTGCATTCATTTTTTTTATAAAATTCCAAAAATATTTTATTTTCTTCTTTTTCATTTTTCATTTTTGCATGGCATTTAGCTTAGGGCATAAGCATTCATGCACTTTTGTTATCTCTTTATTCTCATCTCCGGACGTCTTTACTTGAAAGACACGACATACCTTAAATACAATTCTTTTGGAAACTCACATAACAAATAAGAATCGTTCTTAGGGACTTTCAGTTGTTACTTCTTCTCTTATATATACACGGGGAGAGAATGTAAGTAGTTATGCATATGAATCGACTCATGTCAAGTGTGACATAAGTAGGGGCAACTTAGCCTCGTGCCTACTAGTCCCTCACTTGAATTTTCCTCACAAGTCGCAGTCAAACCCCAAAGAAAGGAATAAAAGCTAGATTTTTCTATTTTGAGATCTTTAGTTTCTAACTGTTGCAATTCACATCATATACCATTACTTTATGATTTAGACACATTTTTCCCACTTGATCTCGAATTTGCCTTAGTGTAGTTGTGCTCGTTTGACCTCTTGTTTGGGTTAGACTTAGATTCCGCTTATAGTTGTATATAGTTATATTTTGTATTTTTATTTTCAGGCTATACTTGTAAAACTCTTGTGGTAAACCAAAAAAGTGAGCGTAAAAAAAAAAAAAAAAGACAACTACCACTTTTCTAGTGTTGTTTTGTGAATCAAAAGTAAATTGTTTTAAAGTACCGTTCGAAAATTTTTGCATCAATTTACCCAAAAATTTCAATAAAGTCTAGTATTTAGTTTGTGTATGTAGAAATTTCATATGTATCCAATTTGTTTGGAGAAGTCAAATCTTTGATCTTTCATGAAATTTGAACTTTATTTTTCTTGGTTCTAGTGTTAAAGTGTCCAATAAAGTAATAATAATAATAATAATAATAATAATAATAATAATAATAATAAGAAGGTTATGGAAAGTCGGATATTATCGCAATCATAAGATGCAAATGTAGTTATGTATTTTTAGTGTTTTCCTCGTTGTGTCTTAAGTATTTGTATTTGTAATTGTGTTCTTGGGGTTTTGTTGTCCTAAAAAATTAAAAAAAAATCAAAAGAAAAGGCCGGGCCATGAAGTTATATCCATTTGTTTGCTTTTGTAGATGTTTAGCCTTTTTTATATTTGAGCTCTTGTAATTTGTTTCTAGTTTGATGTTTTTATATTTAGATATCATTTTTGTTGGCAACTACGATGGTTCCCTTTACTCATCGCGTGCTCGGCTCTTTGCTCTACATGGATCTTATTTTGGTGGAAGCACTTACTCTTCTAGATGATTGTAGTTCACCAACTTTTGTACATAGCTCGTCGCTTGTCATTTTTTGCCCGAGTTATCTTTTTCTAGGTTTTATTTCTTGACGTGGGGTTGAAGTTGTGAGGAGTGGGGAACGTTCTAACCGAGGGACACTTTCTTATGGATAGTGTGCTAGATCGGACCACAAAATAATGTCACATAAACCATAGTAGTGAAGTATGCATGCTCGTTTTGCATCATGATCAACATATATCCCTTGCTAGAAAGGTAACAAAGGCTCGTTCCTTAAAGCAATTCTTACCCTAAAAATGGATTATATGATTTTATTTTGAGGGCATGTTGTGAATTTCCACCTAAGATTTTCATTCCTATTTTCTTTCTAGGATAGTTTATCCCAAGTTCATTTTAGTACTGTCTTACTTGAGGACAAGTAAGGTTCAAGCTTGGGGTGATTTGATAGTTTCATTTTATTATTTTTTTCATAGTTTATTTTTAGTTAAAACCATATCATTTTAGTTAATCTTCATTTATATTATCTATTTTTGTTATTTTTCTCCTTTACTGAGTGTTTTCTAGTCTTTTGAGCTTATTTTGCAGGATTTATTAAAGACTATTTGTTATTGGATGTATGGAAGGAGTGCGGGACTATGAGAGGCTTGCAATTCGTTCACGGAATTGAACTGGTGTGATTGGGCTTGTTGTCAACATAATCAAAGGAGTATTGGAGTATCTATGGAGGCTTTGGAATAGTGCAATTGGGCTCCCAAGAGTTATGCATGTGGGCTGAAGTGTGAATGAAAAGATTGGGCTGGAATATATTTTAAATGGGCTAAGTCCCAAAATCAGCGAGACCCACGCAGTCCACGTGGATCCACAAACGGTCCGCGTGGATCGTGCTGAGGTGATTCCAGGCTTTGACTCTTTGACCCTATTTTTGGAAGGTTGATGGATGGCTTTTGGGGAGATTTTGAATCCAGGATTAAACACTTTTTGCTGGGGATTTGAAGCATTCTTCATCATTAAAACTTAGAGGAACCACTCACTTTTCTCTCAATAAGCCTTTGGAAGACTTGAAGATTTGGAAGACTAGTGATATTTTTTTTCATCTTGAACTTAGAACAATGTTTGGTATTTCTAAACTACCTTGTATTTCTCTTATCTTGGTCATGCTTGGCTAGATTTTCATTTGGTTGATTAGGATTTAATCCCATGGATGATTGGTTGTTTTGAAGACTATTATTACCTTGTGTTTGAAGTTTATGGACATGTTTTCTAGTTAAACATCTTTTTATGTTTGCTCATCTTAGATCATGAGCTTGGATGAATAAACATATATTTTTGTTGATCAATTTATTGGTTAAGTAATGGACTTTGAGATTGGTAAGCAACAAATGGTTTCTAAGTTTGTTTTCATTTCATTTAAACCATGGGAATGTTTCCTCCATAATGATAATATAAGCATTTGATTATCGACTTGGTAACTCTTAGAACTCAAAGCTAATTGATTTTCATAAGATTATATGCTTCATTGATTTTGTGACTTTAATTAAGGGAATGTGTTAGAGCTCATCTAACCATTTTAATATCTAAGAAGAGTTGAGGTAATTTGTGCTTATGAATTGCTATAGCCAAGTTAAACCAATTCACAAGTGTTGTTGCTTTTAGTCTAATGATAAGTCAACTATGTCACCCATTTGGTGTATCCCAAAATCAACCAATTCCACCTCATTGAATTTAATCAAATCGCTTACTTGTTTGCTTGTCATATTTACATCCTAGCTAGTTTTAATTTTGTCAAACAATAAAAAAGAATTAACCCCCCCCCCCTCCATTTTACTTTTACTTTTGTTTTACAAGTACTTGAACAAATGATTTACATAAAGACTTAAACTGAACCAATCTCCGTGGATACGATCGCTTTACCACTATACACTATTTTAGTGTGTAATATTTAGGGCATTAATTTTGTTGAACTTGACAACCACTAGGGAATTGTATATTTACCAAGTGAAAACTAAAACGGTTATATTTACTAAGATAAACTGCATAATTTAGATGTTTAGTAACTAAGCTTAGAGGTTTAACAATTGAAAATGTAGATTCAGGATCGACACAATAAATTTGATAAGGAAGCAAGAATATTGATTATTTTTTACCTTTGTGACACTGGAA